AAGCGAATGCGATATTTGCCTTCAGAAGGTCAAACTACCCTGAAAAAGACTTCAAGACAAATCAAAGTTCTGACCCAGGCTTCAGAAAGTAGAGGATAAGTGGTATCAAAGATCATATCAGCGTTTATGTACAATGAAGCATTCAAAATGGTGTTCCTTTGGATTTCGTGAAACGGTGCGATAACCCGATAGTGTTTTTTTCACAATCAGACTGACCCCCTCCTCTGAGTTTTCAATTCGACCCTTCCCCGCACAAGACACCTCAAAAACTCGTCGGGTGAGGGCATTAAGGGAAAAGTGCCCGTCGCTAACTTCGGAAACGAAGGATTTATGAAAAATGTCAGTTGGAGAACTTTTCAATGTCAATAATGATCCTTGACCCCTACTCTGGAAAGGGGCGTGGCCAAGGGGGTGGAGCTCGGTGCAAGAGGTCTCGAAATTCAATATGTCGTCCATGACTGTGAAAAGTCCACCGAGAAAAGATGCCATGAATAAAGCTATAATGCGGCCAATCTCAGTAAATCTTCAAAGGAGTGAGGGGAGGCATCGGACCGGGAGGTTAATTGTGTCTTTACGTAGAAGTCCACACAGCAAGTACAACAAGTACATGTGTGACACGGTGTGAAATCGTGAAAAACTAGTCTAATCCAAAATTATAAAGCATAGTGTGTGCAACGAAATTTGAATCATGTTCGCGGCTAACAGAGGGCGTGGCAATCTGGGGCGGGATTTCCAATGACGTCGACTGTGTGCAGGGGATAGTGTAGTGGGCGTTGCGCGCAGGAATGCAAATAGTCGCTTCGCGAAAGAATCTATACACAAGGATAAGACACGTTGACGGATCCAAAGCGGCAGTGGCAAAAAATAGGAATCTATGAGCCTGAAAAAGGCGTGTAGACAGATGTCTAAGTATTATAAAGATATGAACTTCCTAATTTTCGGACTCAAATTAGACCTTGCAGTTACTGCAGTACATTGGTGCGTGGGTGGAAACAGTATTGCACAACAAGAAAGCATCTAATGGCAGTAGACGACGGACAATTGTGATATGATTGATCATCCTATCGGTGGGGGGAAGTCCGTTTTTGATGGCATTACGTGCTAAACCGATTCGCTGGCATATGATTGATGAAGATGAAATTTGTCACAGTTCTTTTTCATTGCTCACATTTTTGTATACCACCGGAATGGCAGCCTTCTACTGCAACAGTTCGACAAACGGAACAAATCGAAGAACAGTATGTACACAAGACACCAACATCTGCTAGTTCCGGAAGCCAGATGAGGCCAGAAAAACCAGTAAGCGAGAGAATTACAAGCGCTCCAGCAGAAAAAAAAGCATAACGAGAGAAAGGGCTCGGGTCAAGGTTATCGGCGAAAGATCGCTGCGACCGACGACATGGTTTTTCGAAATTCCTAGCAGTAGTTGATGTCATCAATGAAACGAACAAGTAGGTCGAAAACAGGAAAAGGTATAGCACAGTTATAAAACGAGCATTAGGTTGAGGAACACGTTAACAGGTATTTTTTTGCTTTTTTTACAGGAATAACCCAACGGGAAAGTAACATTTCCCACACCTGCTTTTCATCGAAGCCAAAAAGCTGCTGAAGCAGCCCGGGTGTGCAAGGTCCGGAAAATACGGTGGATGCTGAAGGACCTCTCCTTCGAGCTCTTGGAACGTGGCTATAAGGACTTGCGCAACATGTGATCTGGCATTGCTGTGAAGGAGTACGGTTTAGCATCGTCGATGAAATCTTTTTAGCCAAATAGCCTCTTTCACGTGATGTAGCTAGGCTACTTAGAGCTCCTTGTTGACAAGATATCCCTTTCATGCGGTTACCAGAGCACTGAACTCCTATGAGACACTGTTTGTCCATACAGGTCTTCCGCAGCGCGGCGTGTCGCCACCACTAAAATCGCCACTTTTGAGCCTTGCCAACAGTTTCCATGCTGTATGACATGCTATGCTCGCCAATGACACCCCGGGCCACTTCAACAAATCTTTCGCCATGATGAAAAGCGAAAGAGAGCAGATGTCGAAAACGAAAATATCTTCGGCATACTCCATTTCCGAGTGCAAAAAGAAAAAATACATTGTACAGAGGAAAAAAACTATTAGCACAGTTTTTAGAGCAGAAGGGTCCTAATGAATGTAAAGGAATTACATGTATTTGGTCAAAAAGCAAAAAAAAATCGTCAAAAAAACGCTAGTAGATCGCATCGATGTGCACCTCGAAGCTGTCCTCAGAAAAGATCATGAAAACCGCACAGCTGTTCATGATATATGAGACTTCGACTCTTTAATGCCGTAAAAATCTTGCTTGCGGAGGGCGACCATTAATAATCAGATGTACTTCACACGTCAAGATCTCGCACTATATTACACTCGCATCTAATGGGGCTAATGGGGTTTAAAGAGTTTAAAAATGACAGGATGTAAGGCTCACCTGAAAGCATCCAATACACCAAGAAAACTGCGACCGCTGCTAGGATGACAAGTCGAACTGCACGTGAGGGGCGCGCCAGTCCCCGAGCAGGGACCATGAAATCACACTGTTTCTTCACATCATGTTCCACCGTCTAAATAAAGGACAGTTCATACTTTTCAAATTACAAAAAACATTCTCTTAGCAGAAGCGAGTTATGGCTTGGCGCTAAGGCAGTGTAGGTCCGCAGACCAGTCCATGTCTCGGGCTAGGCAGGCCACGTCATGACGCCGCATGACATCCGTTTAGGTAGCGTTCGGACTTCACGATGATGCCCTACAATTGCAACAGCGCGCCGATCCCACAGACCGAACGCAGTCGCCGACGGGAATCGGCGCAGACCGCCTGTGTTTTGAGAGTGTACAGGATAACAGGAGGGCAGGCGCTACCTCCACACTAGCTGGTACTCTCCCATTCTTCCATACTCTCCCCAAAACTGAGCGGCCAGTGCCGATCGATAGCAGACTGTGTGATCACACGACGCCTACCCTCCTGTTGCCGCATACTCTCTCAATACAAAAGCGGCCGGCGCCGATCGCTTCCGTTTCTGGCTGCGTTCGCGTCAATCGGAGCGCTGTAACAATTGTAGCGCACTACAGCGCGTTACAGCATGTTACAGCGCGTCGTCGCGAGAAAAACTAAAAACGAGAAAAACATGTCGTACGGGAAACCCTGCGACATGTCTTTTTTGGCAATTAACGCTACGGGGAGGTGAAAGCTCTGGCCAAGGGCCAGGAAAGAAGTTCCCATGACCATTTCGCGTCAGTGACGGGCCATACGGCATAAATATAGACATACTGAACTGCGGACTCATACTGAACTAGCATCCATGCCTTTATGAATAAGTTGTCAGTTTTTCAGAAATTCGTCCTACTATATAAGCATTCCTTTGATCAATGGCCCCCAGCGATCCTTCAAAAGGTAGATAAATTTGACAAATTTGAAATTATACAAACCCGACATTCGCACTTCTTCAACGGCTCCCAGGTGTTGTTCAAGACCAGCCTAACATAATCCATCATGATTCGCTACTAATGAATTCCTGCGTGCACGCGCGCATTCCTATTTGTTCAGCTTTCTGGTTAGTCACAAATTTCTATGATCGTCCAACACCCGCTGCGAGTTCTGCTCAAACAATAAGGTGCAATCGCTTCACGGTATGCAGCAGTTGTTTTCCCGTGCGCACGCAGTGGATTTGAAACTAGCATTTGGGATTTCTACACTTCTGGATAGGGGGCATGTGCATGAGAAACCAGTCGAATCGGACAAAGCTCGCCGGTCCTTCTTCTCCACGGAAATGGAGTTCCCCCCCCCTCACATTTTCAAAAGAGAGAGAAAGAGGCTCCGACGGCGAGTTTATGAAACATTGTAGCAAGCGCCGCTCATCTATAGTAAGCCCGCCTACCGTAGCTAGGGTCTCCTTCATACGTTCACTGACCCTTTTCCTATCGTTTCCCACTTTTCTCGCTCTACGAGCTCTTATGGAACCGAATTACGAATTTCTGAAATTTCCGTAGCAAGCACCGCTCATTTGCAGCGCCCCGCCCACTATAGGTGTGCCTCCACTTTCACGCGCCTACCCATTTCCCAGCGTTCCTACTTTTCCGCTCTACGCGCTCTTCTGTAACCAAAATACGAGTTTTTGAACAAAATGACTCCTGTCTGAGGGCAAACTATGCTCCCAAAGGGCGGGTCTGCTCGATTTATATGTGTTTCGCTCTTTTGGTCATGCCGAATTTCCAGACAGACGGACACACAAAGCCTTGTTTAGCTAGCTAGTTGACGCGATACCAGTGGCTCTTCTACGCTGTGCCGCAGGTCATGCAGAAGGCTGCGCTTTCCTCTGCAGGGTGGGCCTCTTGATCGACACCTTTGGTTAGCTCATCCAACTCAGTGAGGAGACAACACATCACTGTTGCAACTAGTGCTACATCACAGTCACACCATTTACAAAGTAAATCATTAATTTGGATGAAATGATAAGAAGCGGAACTGTTCCTATGCTTACCTTCCATAACGTGAACGCAGTCATTCCTACTCGCTACCGCAGTTGCAGCATTCCTGGTGATCTGCAATTGATCAGTCCTTAAGTCACGTTAAATTTGGGTGAAGTGGATAAAATGGCGTAAATTTTTAGATTGATCACATCAGCGGAGACAGCCAACCTCCTCTTGTCCCTTAAGCTTTTATCAGGTTTGCCAGAAATCTGGAGAAGTTAGAGATTGAGCTTACGAAATTATTTAGTTGATCTGTTAGCCCAATAAAAAAAGTTATTTTTGAAGCTATTTTTTTATAATTACGGATAGCGCACTCGCCCGGAAAGCGTGAGGTGCAGGTTTAACTCCCGCCTGGGGTACGACTTCTGCTCATGACTCAGCATTCTTGTGACACTAAAGGTAATTTTAAGCACTGACCTATGACAAGAACTTCAAATTCTATAACCGCCGTCCTCTGGATGGCTGCTAGTGGTAGTGCCCTACGTCTAACTTCGCGAGGCCCTCCTCCTCCATCCTCTTCCTATTTCCTTGCTTCTTTTCATTCCATGCTTCTCCGATCCCTCTTCCTCAACTTCTCCCTCCAAATGCCCGACCAGGAGATGCGATGAGTAAAAGCACTGGAGCCTCGTAGCGAGGGAATATTCGGTCCGGTAGAGTCCTGTACCCCTAGCTCATACTCTGTTACATGCAGGTTGGCCCGACATCTGCAACATTCACTCACTTTCACTCCCCTTACACCTCTCCTCACTTGATTTCACCAGTTGGACTAACTAGGGAGGTCGTTCAGGACGTGGAGCGCTTTTTGAAAACGGTTTTTTGCATGATGTGGGGTTACGTGCATGGAGTACCAAACTGGTGTTCATTTTTCCTGAACGCCTCTGGGAATGCCAAAAATGGAGTGAAAAAGAAGTCCATGGAAACCGACTGTTTTTGAGCCTGAATGGGCTCTAAATCACTCGCAACTTTCGGCCAGTTGCTGCCTATAGGGTCCTTATAAAGGTACTGGTATCGATGAGAAAAGTAGTCGCCAATGGGGTCCTACTTGTGGCACGTAGTCCCCAATTTGGAGCCAAGTCTTTCTCCCACTGGAGTCGCTATGTACATTCGTTTGAGGGACTTGCAGGGCCATTCTGACGCCAGATTGGGTTGATGTCAAGAATAAGTGTCAGAATCGTGATCAGGACCATCGATTACCCCTATAGGCAAACTTTCGGCCAAAAAAATTTTTTTGACTTTTTTGAGTTGTGATAGACCGACCATTTGGTCGTCGGTGATGACCGGAGACCCACAACTTGTGGAGTTGCGATGACGTAGCGATGACGTGGTGGGCCGCCGGGCAGCCGCATCGCGGATTTGGTGCTCATAAGGTCCATTCATACTTGGCATGGGCATGGGTGGCCGCAGAACAAGTGAAAAACCATCCTGGACATTTGTCGACCCCCACGACTTCTCGCTCAACGAAGATGTCGTCCTCCCCTACCAAGAGGAGAGACTCATCCGATTTCTTCATCAAATGCACCTGGAGGAATGATGACTATTTTGTTCTTTTTTTCGATGGCGTTTATGGTTGTTGCTAGTTTTTTGTTTCCGTACCACTGAATGAGGGTTTCGATTAACAGACAGCAAAAGTACGACTTCAAACAAAGTGACTCTTGAGCATAACCCAATGCACAGACTCAAAAAAGTCAAAAAAAATTTTTGGCTGAAAGTTTGCCTATAGGGGTAATCGATGGTCCTGATCACGATTCTGACACTTATTCTTGACGTCAATCCAATCTGGCGTCAGAATGGCCCTGCAAGTCCCTCAAACGAATGTACATAGCGACTCCAGTGGGAGAAAGACTTGGCTCCAAATTGGAGATAAATGGCACTAGAGCTGAAAGTAAATGCCATAGTCATGATCAGGGCACCGAATAACATAAGCTCAGCTTTCAGACAAGTTCTTGCTTAATGGTATGTGAAATCGAAATTGCTGAATAGCACCGACTACGGGCTATAACTATTTAGGATGTGCCTATAAATGGCAGATATCCGAGTAAAATTCATTAACAGACGTATATGGAAGCGACAACAACGGAAAATAAAAAATGCAAAAACGTGCAAGCCGAGGGGAGTCGAACCATCATCCCCCAAAATTCCCCCCCCAAACCCTGTTTTCCCCCCCCTGCTTAAGAATTCCTCTCAGCGCTATCCACTACGCCATCCGGTCGTTGGCAAGACAGGCAGCCTACTTCGATTGCTTATGAGCCCATTCGAATTGGCCGTTGACTCTTAACTACGTGCCACAAGTAAGACCCCATTGACGACCACTTTTCTCATAGATACCAGTACAGCAACACCGTTTATAAGGACCTTATAGGACAGCAACTGGCCGAACTTGCGAGTGATTTAGAGCCCATTCAGGCTCAATAACAGTCGGTTTCCATGGACTTTTTTCACTCCATTTTTGGCATTCCCAGAGGCGTTCAGGAAAAATGAACACCAGTTTGGTACTCCATGCACGTGACCCCACATCATGCGAAAAACCGTTTTCAAAAAGCGCTCCACGTCCTGAACGACCTCCCTAGTAAGTGGTGAAAGGAAATGAAAAGGGGCGTTTCGATGGCGAGGGGAGGGGCATCTTGCACTCCGAACCATCTAGAAACTCTTTAGATCTTTCATGAGCAAGGCAAGAGTTGTCGGATTTTACCACGGTGGCTAGACGAGCCTGCTCAAGGTTCACAAGAATTC